CCTGTCTCAGCTAAACAATTATTGAGTTTGGGGCCAGCCTGGCCTCCATGAGTCCTTACCTAAAACCTAAGGCTGCTATGATGGCAAAACAAGTAAAGGTACTTAACTGCCAAACTTGGTGAGCCAAGTTCCATCTCTTCACCCACATGGTAGGAGAAAAGAACCTAATGTGGTGATTTGTCCTCTGACCTCAACAAGTACACCACAGTACAAGTGCCCACACAAGCGCACACACCAAATACATGCAATTTTTACAAAAGTATGCATGAACTTAAGAGAAAGGGGACAAAGGGAGGGAAAGGAAAGGAGGAAAGGAAGGGGAAGGAGAGAAATAAATAGAAAAGAGGGAGAGAGAGAGGGAGGAAGAGAGGGAGGGATAAATGGAGGCTGGCAGGGAGGGAGGGTGGAAGGGTGGCAGGGAAGGAAACAGAAGGAAGGAAAGGGAAAACCTAAGTGTAGTGTGAAAATGAACTGTGAAGCACTTAAGAATTCCACAAGACAAAGGTTTCAACCTGGAAACATCTAAATACCTGGGTAACGGCATGCCCTATGGATTGTGCAGGCTCTAGAAGAATCTGTCAACAGCAATGTGTAAGCTGCAGTTAGAGCACCTGGGGCTTGATCAAACTCCCTAGGTGACTCTGACCCACAGCAATGTATGAGAACTGAGTGCTTTATGTATACTATATCCAAAACCAAGGACACTGCAGTCCAATACCAATTCCAATGCTCTATGCTGGTCACTATTGCTTCTCAGTGTGACTGGACCTGGGACCAACTAAGGAACTAAGGGACATACCTCTGGTGGGTGTGTGGGGGACTCTTGGAAGAACTGACTGAGGGGATGAAGACTGCCCCCTAGAGCAGTCGGACCTTCACCTGCCTGCTCTCACTCCTTACAGGTGACTGCAGCTCCCTGGTGCAGCACTGCTGCTGCTGCTGCATCCTTACTGACAGCGGAACCCAGTGTCTTCAGCTCCCAATGTAGACTCCCCAGATAGTCCAAACCTTCTACGCCAGACTGGGCTTACAGAGGCATGCAGCCTCAGGGACTGAACAGCAACCAGGTTAGCCACTCCAGCATGCAGATGGCCAATGTTAGACTGCGCCACTCGTATTGTGGAAACCAACCTAATATTCATTCCTCTTTAATATATAGATTTTAGAGAACCCCAACTAACACATTAGTCTACTTAACATAATTCCTAATCTATGAAAAGGGAAAGTCACCCATACTTCCTAGTCACTGTAGGAATTAAAGATCTAGGATATACATCTAGGATACTTGGTACATCTCTGGTGCACTTAGCAAGCATTCAGTAATTCACTCATTTAACAAACATTTACGCAGTATCAGGAGATGGGAGACACAACTATAGGAAGCCTGCAGTGCTGACCTGAGAACACCTGAGGAGGACTCATACTGAAGCCTCCCTCAAGTGAACTGTATGATAAACAGGCAACAGCTGGAAGCACAGGGAATGAAGAACACTTCCAGGAACTATAACCACAGCCGTGTACCTGAGAGGAGGGACAGACAGACAGACCATGGGCACAGTGACAAGGGGAGGAAAAGAAGGCCAAAGGCACTGTGGAGACAAAGTTGAGGAGCACACAGAGGGGACAATTGCGCAGGGCAGTACAGAGCATGTCCAAACCTCAGTTACCCCTAAGCCATGAGAAGAAGCAACTGTGATTGGACCTATACTCTGAAAACATCAATTCTAGCATAGAAACTCCAGGAGCTGGCAACTCTAGGTGTCAGAGACTTAATGAAGTGGCAGAGAAAATGAAGGTGGCCGAACTAGAAGGTAATGCTGAAGATGAAGAAAATGAGAACTCAAGAAATGTTTAAAAGGCAAAACCAATAGGCTTTCATAAGAAATGGAGAATGAGGCATGACAGAAGCTTGACAAATTTCAACTCCTACAGAAGGAGACAGAAACACAGTAAGGGACCCTATTTTTTTTTTCTTGAGAAGATAGGTCATAAATTTCAACTATGTCAACATGATATAATTCCCAAGTAAAGAATGAACTTGTATGGCAATGTCCTGGTGTATGGAATTACAACACAGCTGTATTAGTTGTTTATGGCTCTTACAGACAAAATGAATAATTTTCCCATGTGTAGATTTATCTCAACAGAATAAAGCACCATATCTTCAATTAGGTTCCTTTCCTTTACACCCTCCCCTACCTTTTACTAAAGGGGAGGGGAGCTCCAAAGTCGAAAAGGAATCTTTGAAGTAATCACCAAATGACTGACTGACTTGCAGTATTTTTGCTAAATTAGTTTTCCCACACAGAGGCATACTACCTAGAAAACTTAAATACAGCTTTTTTAAAGAGTCACGACACGATCCCTGGATTTGATGTGCAAATACTCCAGCTGGGACTTATAAATCAAATCAGTTTTTAAGTCGCTGCACCGGAGTATCACCAGTCCTGTTATAGAGGTAGATTTGGTAACAGTGGTGTCCTTAATTACCGAACACAAGCAATGTGTGCAGTTGAATCCCAAGTTTCTGCACGCTTTATCTGTCAAAACCTTTATCCTTTCTCCGTAGCCTAAACAAGAGCACTGGAGCCCCCAATGGGGATTTTATCTTATCTGCCCCACCCACCTCACACACAATAACCGTCCAGTCCAGAAAGACAACTACAGTCAGAGAAGGGCGACCGGAGTGCGGGGGCCATAGCTGGTGGTGACCCAGGTTACCAGGTTACCGGAACCGAGCCTCAGAAACAAGAGGGGCTGTCTCACCAGTCCCGATGCCGTGTACAATTTCCCAAAAGGATACCGAGATCTCCACCGCGGAAACCCGAGCTCCTGCTCCGACTCGGGGAGCTCTGCCAGCAGCAGACGACCCGGCAGCGAGCCACCCGTCGCCCCAAGGCCTCTCCGGGAGTCTCCGACCTCTGAGATCCGCTTCCTCCCGCTCGTCGCTACCTGGGGTCCGTCCTCCCGGGCCACCCACCGCCGGCCAGCTCGGCCCGGCCCGTCACTAGGCAACAGTCGCCAGCCGCGAGGCTCGGGGAGGCCGCAGCCCACTTGCTGGTCCAGACCCAGGTCGCCCGGTGCCCGCGACCGGTCGTCACTCACCTCGCAGCCGGCTACCTGGAGGGGCGGTGCTGGGGCCCGTCCCCCGCCGGCTCCCTTAATGCCTCCGGGCTGTGGCTGCTCGGGCCGCGCGCCTGACCGCCCCCGAACGCTTACTTCATCTCCTCCGCCACTCCCGAGGCCGCAGAACCCCAAGACCCAGGAGTAAAGGGGGAAGGGAGGGAAGGGACCGGGGAAGAAGAGCACGGGAGAGGGTAGAGCACTTAAAAGCCTGCCCGGTCCGACATGACGTCACTTCCGGGTGATTCGGAAGGGGCGGGGCTGACTTTTCCCCGCCCCGGCGAGGCGGTGGGGGCGGGGCTCGTGGGCCGGCGGTGGTCTCCCGGGCGTCCGCCGACCGCGTTAGTCTTGACTCTATGGTTGGACGATTTCGCAGGCAGGACGAGCTTCCCCGGCACAGGCTGGGCACGCCGAGTTTCCGGGGCCATAGAAGGGGATTCGCCGAGAAAACGAGAACAGGTAGCCAAACGTGTAAAGGAGATGAGCGACAGAAGCGGCTGGTTGGTTGGACTCGGCAGCTCTGATTCTGGGGCCCCGCCCCTTTCCTGTTTCCCAGGTCACCTGTCCTTGCAGGCGGAGGGACTGGGCACTCGGGACTCAGCCCTCTCCCTTACTTTCGTTGAGTGCCCTCAGAACTTTAGGAAAGCCGTGCTTCTCACACGGCGCCGTGTTGAAACGCACAAGTGGGATCGGACATTGTGCGTTTCTACGAAGTTCTCGGACCACCCCAGTGCCGCTGTTCCAGGAAATATGCCTAGGCTCCAGTGCTCACAGCCTCTCAGGCTCCAGGTAGCCCCTCCGTAGGCCTGCCACCCTCATGCAGACATGCCACCATGCTTCCTGCCATGATAATGGGCCAAATCTCTGAACTGTAAGCCAGCCCCAATTAAGTGGTTTCCTTTATAAGGATTGCTTTGGTCGTACTTCTCTGCACAGGGATAGAGCATGTCTGTGCCTCTGCCATATGTGTGTGGGGTTACACACAGAAGCCAGAAGAGGGTGTCGGTTCACCTGGAGCTGGAGTTACAGGCAGTTGTGAGTAGTCTGATGTTGATGCTGGAAACCAAACTCAGATACTCTAGAAGAACAGCTACTTCTCTTAACCATTAAAGCCATCTCTCCAGCCCCTTCAGCCCCTTCAAGCAACACGCACACACACATGCTTATAGTTTTTAAAATGTATTTTACTGTGTGTGTGTGTGCCCGGGAGCGCTGAATGTAGATATGTGCACCTGAGTGTAGGTGCTTACAGAGGCCAGAAGTGTTGGATCCCTGCGATGGCTATTCTTGGTTGTCAACGTGACTGTATCTAAAGCCCAAAAATGGAGGGCACAACTGTGACGGATTTCTGCATAATTTGAAGTGGGAAGATCTACTTCCAATGCGGGTCTTTGAGGTAGGAAGACTGACCTTTAACCCAGATCTAATCTGAGACACAGTTTCTGTTAAAAGCAGTTTCATTTATAAAGGACATTGAAGAAGGAAGCTTTTGCTTTTTGTCTGCTTGCTCTCTCCTTGATAGAAAGTCCATCCCTTCATACATATTAGAGCCTAACTCTTCGGGATTCCAGTGTATACTGAGGACCAGCTGGGACATCCAGCTTCATGAACTGAGCAACTGCTTGATTCTGGGACTTTTCATTCATAGCCAGTCAGTGTTGAATTAGCTGGACCACAGCCTGTAAGTTATTCTAATAAATCCCCTTTACACACACACAGAGAGACCGAGAGAGAGAGAGAGAGAGAGAGAGAGAGAGAGAGAGAGAGAGAGAGAGAGAGAGAGAGAGAGAGAGAATGAGAGAGAGAGAGATGAGAGAGAGAGAGGGAGGGAGGGAGGGAGGGAGGGAGAGGGAGAGAGGGAGGGAGGGAGGGAGAGAGAATGAGAGAGGGGGAGGGGGTTGTATAAGTTTTGTTACTCTAGAGAATCCTCACTAATACAGATCCCCTGGAGCTGAAGTTACAGGCGGTTGTGAGCTGCCTGATGTGAATGCTGGAAAAGCAGTTGATGCTCTTAACTGCCAGGCCATCTCTCCAGCCCGTGTTGATTGCCTTTACTAACTTGCTCAGATCTCTTAAATAGAGTTTGCTAGATTTTAAGAATTTATTTATTTATGTTTATGTATATGTGCATGTGTCTGCATGAGCTTATGTGTACCGTGTGCAAGCAGGTACCTACAAAGGCCAGAGAATGTCAGGTTCCCTGAAACTGAAGTTACAGGGTGGGAAAAGAACCTGAGTCCTCTGGAAGAGCAGTAAGTACTTTAAACTACTGAGCCACCTCTCTAGCCACTGAGCGAAAGAAGCCAAAAAAAAAAAAAAAAAAACACAGCACAAAACAAAACACCTGGATATGCTGGCACATCCCTTAACTTCCAGCAGAGGTAGAAAACCAAGGTAGTTGGATCTCTGTGAGTTCCAGTCCACTCAAAGCCACATAGTAAGAACTTGCCTCAAAGGAAGGAAGAAGGATACAGAGGAAAGAAAGAAAGAAAGAGAAAGAGGAAGAAAGGAAGGAAATCGCAATGGAAATAAAGAGAAAAAAATAAATTCTGATGAAGCCACAGCTCTGTAATAGCAAGGACTCAAATTTATTTTCTTTCCATATGTGTTCTGAAGTAATCTTTGAGATTAAATTTTTAAAATGATTAAATATAGCTTGTAAATGTCTTGTCTGAAGGTCTATAGGCACACAGTAGAGGAAGTTTCTGGGTTTATTCTTTTTATTGACAGAAAAAGATGTTATGCAATTTCAATGATTATATTATGGCTTATATAGAATGGGAGATGAAATTTAAGAAATTAGCACTGCCTATGCCATCAAAAACACAGTTGTCTGAGCCGGGCGTTGGTGGCGCATGCCTTTAATCCCAGCACTCGGGAGGCAGAGACAGGCGGATATCTGTGAGTTCGAGACCAGCCTGGTCTATAAGAGCTAGTTCCAGGACAGCCTCCAAAGCCACAGAGAAACCCTGTCTTGAAAAACCAAAACAAAACAAAACAAAACAAAAAAACACAGTTGTTTGATTTGGTATCATGTAACACAGCTCTGCTGTGCTCACGAGGCTAGGGCAAGAGGAATTCAAGGTTTAGACTAGCCTGCTAAATTGCAAAATCTTACTTCAAAAATTGATTTTAATTAAAATGTAAAAATAAAAAAGGCCATGAATTTGAGAGAGAGCAAGAGGGGTGTATAGAGGCATTGGGGGAGAAGAGGAAAGAGGCAAAATGATTCAATTATGTTTTCATTTCAGAAGTATGTATCAAAACTTAAAAAAGACTTTCAGAACTGAGAAGCATGAGTGATGCTTTATAAGGATGTGATTTTGTTAAAAATGCCTCAGCCAGGCAGTGGTGGCACATACTTTTAATCCCAGCACTCAGGAGGCAGAGGCAGGCAGATCTCTGTGAATTCAAGGCCAGCCTGGTCTACAGAGTGAATTTCAGGACAGCCAGGACTATTTCACAGAGAAACCAATAAATGTGTTTTCTTTCTTCGTTCAGAATGCTCAGGTCCTTTTCATGCTACACAACTAAGGGGTGGCATTATGGAAATGAAACAAAGGAGGCATCATTTACAAATATCTGAAGACCATTTCTCTGATTTTGATGCTGTTAATGTTGTCATCTTATGAAAAACGTGTGGGAGCAGTTACATCTCTCAATCCAAAGGAGTTTATATTTGCAAACTTTAATGAGTCATAAAACATTCAAACTGGTAGGAATGAAAGTATTCAAAAGAGAAAAGCATTTGCAATTTGAAGATTCTAACAGTAGTCCCCACAGGTTTCTAGACAGTGAATCATCTCACAGTTTTAGCAAAATACTGAATGATGCTCAAAATGGATTTGTTGATGAAATACAAACAAGAGAACCTCTAAGGTTGTTGTTAACTGAGTATTATAAAACATTGTGGTGAGACCCTAGCAAAACTGTCTTCATTGAGCTAAATATAAATGTATACTTGCACATATTCTCAGAAGTTGATAAAATTAAACTTCAGTGTTAAGAACTAATAGACTTCTATATTTGTTCTAATGCTATCTCACACACACACACACACACACACACACACACACTTCTGTATTCCCTCTAACACTATCATGGGGGACATATCACACACACTTTCCCCAGTATTTTTTCTAACACTACCATGGAGGACATATCAAATATACTTTCTCCCATATCCCTTCTAGTGGTATCATGGGGGACATATTACATACACTTTTTAAATTTTATATCAAATAACTACATAGAGAAAGCCTGTCATGGAAAGCAAAAAACATTTAAAATGATTGTTATTTTTTATTTAGGTTAGAAACAATCTTGTTTCACATGTCAATTAATTTTAAAATGGAGTTTTACAATCACTTTAGGTTCACAGCCAAATCAAGTGGAATTTTCACATTTATTGCTAGCCCCTCTCCTCACTGTATTAGTTAGCCTTGTTATTGCTGTGAACAAAATACCCAAAAGAATAACTTAAAGCAGAGAATATTTGTTCGCAACCATGGCTTGAAAGATTCCAGTCTTGGTGCTCGGCTACATTGATTCTGCACCTGTGACCAAAGGCAGGGCATAACCTTCAAAGGCATTCCTCAGTGACCCACTGCTTCCAGCTAGGCTGTACGTTCAGAAGTTCCCGGCATCTCCCAATATAGTCTCCTCACCTGAGCAACAAGCAGTCAACGTGAGTCTCATTCAAACTACAATACCTGCTGTCAATACCCTATACTGTAGCAGAGTGGCACATTTGTCAACAATAACGAACTACGCGGCACACCATCATCACTCAGAGCCCATAGTTCACGTAAGAGTCCGTGATTGGTATTTTATGTTGTATAGATGTGAACCAATATAAAATGACGATGTGTAGCCATTATTACGTTATCACAGTCCTCTGTGCTCCACACACTCATGTCTCTCTTTGCTTAACACTAGCAACCACTAATATTTTACTGTTTAGCAAAACTGACTTTTTAGATTGCTAAAAGTAGTGTGTGATGTGTTGATTCTGCTTCTGTGCCCTCTGTACATCAGGCAACACAGGTGAAACAACATAGCTCCAGTGCACTGTTTACTTTAAAAAATATATAACCGGTTAAACTGGAAGTGTAGTTGTCTGTACTTCCAAAAGAAACAAACAAACTCAATACCATATATCTTCATACTTGTGATCTAAGACCATCCTTGTGTATATATCCATTGTCCATATATAAACGCCTACAAAAAAATTCATTGCTCTTTCCCCTTCTCAGAGCAATGTATCCAGGCTATCTGTTGTTTCACTCATGTTTTCTCTTTATCTACTAATGTGTCAGTCCCTGTATCGCTGCTGATCATGAAAAGAAGCACACGATCACTGGGGCAGTGTTGTAGTTAGCAATTCTGTTGCTGTGAAGAGACACCATGACCACCGCAGCTCTTATAAAAGAAAACATTTCATTGTGGCCGGGCTTACAGTTCAGAGGATTAGTCCATTGTGGTCATGGCAGAAGCATGGTGGAGTGCATGCAAACATGGTTCTGGAGAGGGGTTATGAGTTCTCCATCTGAATCCTCAGGCAGCAAGAACGAAGAGTGGGCCAGGAGGGAAAAGTTGAGCTTCTGAAACCTCTAAGCTCCACCCCCTGGTGACACACTTCCTCTAACAAGGCCACATCTATTCCAACAAGGCCACCTCCTAACAGTGCCACTCCATGTGAACCTATGGGGGCCATTTTCATTCAGACCAACACAAGCAGTCAGGAAGGATACAGCCACCCATGTTTTGTTAATGGTTACAATCTTCATTGCATTTTTGCCAAATCGTCACACAATCAACAACATGCCGGGTGCCCAAAGAAGGTATGTAGGGAAGGAAGAGGGACTGGAAGAGACTCGAAAGAAGACTAATGTTTAGAGCATAGATTCTTAAAGGTTTTGCATCCACAACCTCTCTTCATCAGAGAAAGTTTTACACTACCCTGGATATATAAGGTGTCTTGGTTTGGGTTTTTGTTCTGTGAAGAGACGCCATGGCCATGGCAACTCTTATAAAGGAAACATTTAATTGAGGTGGCAGCTTATAGTTTCAGAGGTTCACCCATTATCATCCTGACAGGGAGCATGGCAGCCGGTGGGCAATCATACTGCTTGCTACATCTGGGCCAGAAATCAGCAGGAAGTCCACTGACTCAGTGGGTGGTATCCTGAGCATGGAAAATCTCAAAGCCCAGTGAAACATTTCCTCCAACAAGGCCACACCTACTCCAACAAAACCACACCTCCCAATATTGTCACTCCCTATGAGCTTATAGGGATCAAATACATTCAAAGTATCACACAAGAACACAAAATATAGTATACAAATCAAGTTTTTACTGTTAAAGAGATATATTTAAAGTTATTTGCTATACCATGATTTTACCATTTATTAAAGATGAAAGCAAATTTGCTTACTAGTGAAATGTAAATTCTTGTTTATTTTAACTAAAGATAGAGCAGTTACCTAGCATGACCTGAACACAACCAAAACATTAAATAACTTTTCCCATGGTTTCCTCTTGAGGGCATGGGGTACCTCTAGCAATGCCTAACTAAAGTTGTGTATTATTTCTTAGAAAAGATGTTAATAATTTCTACTTGTTGACCCATTCTCTGTATTAAACAATGTCTTATATATTTTATATTTATAATTTTACAATAGACCCATAAGATGAAAGACAAAACTCTTATTTGGGGAAAGTAGGGATCAAAAGTATTGCATTGAAAAGGGGGGAACAGAAGGAAAGAAGACAGAAGAGGAAAGGAAAATTACAGTGTTGGTATGGTTTATGAAATTATTTTGTCTTATCTTTGCTATACATGCACATGATCTAAAGCATTCAAATAGCCCTACAGTTTTGGGTTTTTTTTTTTAGAACAATTCTCTATGCTTTTCCCCTCACCCATCCTCTTTTCTCAGAGGTAGCGTTTTGCACTCAAGTGTGAGTAACATGTTTATATTGCTGTCTATGAGTTTTCAGTTTGGGGAATATATCTTCGACAATGTAAAACATGGTGTGATGGTTTGAAAGGAAATGGCCCCATAGGCTCATGGAGAGTGGCACTATTAGGAGGTGTGGACTTGTTGGAGTAGGTGTAGCCTTGATGGAGGAAATGTGTCTCAGTCACTTCCTGCTGTCTGCATGTGAAGGTATAGAACTCTCAGATTCTTCTATAGCATCATGTCTGCCTGCACACCACCATGCTTCCCATCATGGCAATAATGAACTAAACTTCTGAACTGTAAACCAGCCCCAATTAAATGTTTTCCTTTATAAGAGCTGCCATGGTCATGGTATCTCTTTACACCAATAGAAACCCTAAGTAAGACACATGGATTAGACCTTTTTCTTCAATGTATCTATCAATAAATTTAAATTTTCCTCTATTATGATTAATTCATTATATTACTCCTAAAGTCATTTTTCTAATCAGTAGTTTAAAAATGGAATAATTTTACTATGCTTGTTGGACACATGTTTTGACTTGTTAATCTTGATTATTTTATTTGTTAATCTTGATTCTTTCTCAGCTGTAAAGGAGTTCTGGAAACAGCAAATATTGATGCATCTTGTTCAATGTATGCATTTTCCATTCTTTGAAAATACTTTGCAGCCTCCAGGTAAAGTGCAAACTTCCCAACTAAGCCAAGAGGAAGATCTTGTCATTTCTGTCACTTCCAGAGAGAGAGGTGACTCCAAACTTAAGTCTACCTGACTGAGTAGCCAAAATTATACATTGTCAAATAATATATAACTAAAATGACCTTCCATGTATTGTTCTTGGTACTTTAAGATATGTTCTCATATCTTAAAGTTAATCTCATCTGCAGCTTATGAATTAATAACTGACTTTCAGCTGGGCACACACCTTTAATCCAGTGCTCAGTAGGCAAAGGCAGGCAGATCTCTATGAGTTTGAAGCCAGCCTAGCCTACAAAGCAAGACCTTATCAACAAAAAAGGAGGAGGAAGAGAAAAAAGAGAAGAAGAAAAAGGATAGACAAAAATCAAAAAGAGGAAATCTGAATTTTCATTCTAACAAAGCCAACACTGGTTATGAATTATGAGATCATTAGAAATCAGAGTGAACTCATGTATGTAGTTCCATCCTTTCCCATACCATCCAAACTTATCGTGTTCCCTTTATAATGCGAAAATAATGTGATGAGGTTTCTACCAGGTTATTCTCTCCTCACAATAATTCATACTCTAGTAGAAGAGGTAGACATGGCAGAGAGAACAATGCAGTCTAGTGGCCTCCTTCATTGACAAGAGTCCTGGGGGCCCTGTAATCTGAATGAGGCTATCTTCCATTTTGCTCCCACTTCCAAGAAATTTGTTGCTTCTAGTAAACCAGTAGCTGGGACATAGGAGACCCTCGGCTTTGGTTGGGATTCTAGCAGAACGCTAACAACAACATTTTCCCATATGAACCAAATGAGAAATAACCCTCCAAAGCTGAGGAACCAGTAAGTTTCAGGTTTGGAAAGGGTGTGGTGGCTGAAGACTCGTAAATCCACAGTTATCAGCCATCCTGCTCACATATGGCAGGTTTCTCTATTTCAGAACAGGAGAAGAAAGCCCCCAAACAAAGCCCTGGGTCTCCAATGCCTGAGTCAGGGACAGCATAGGGTGCCTAAAAGAGAGGGGTTCGGGTGCCTCTGAAGTCAGTTTTCACTGGCATCTAGTTAGGAAGGGAAGGTTATCAGAAAGAGAAGACAATCAAACTGCTCTTACAATCCTCATCTATGATCCCAAAACCCAGAATAGTGAATCCCACAGATCATGAGAATACACTGTTTTCATCGGTGAGGAGACTAGGAAGCCAGGGATAAATACTCAAGGATACAAATTCATAGAGGGTTGGGGGCATAGTTCAGAGGTAAGAGTGTGTGTGTAGTGTGCACGAGCCCCTGGGTTTGATCCCAGCTCAGGAAAGAGAATTATATATCATTCAGGACTCCAAAGAAAATGTTTGGGAAAATACTTTAATCAGAGTACAAACTGGAACCCTGAGATAGGGAAAGACGAGAAGGAATCCAGTAGGCGATGTACTTTGGTCTTTGATCTATTTGTTTTCCCTTCTTGCCCACTGTGTATCTGCACATAAATTCCAAGTACATATGGTTAAGACTATGGGAATGTAAAAAAATTAAAGAATAATACAGGTGTTATATAATAACTGTAGGGGAAAGGGTCCAGCCAAAGAAACACACTTTGGCCCTGCAGCCAGAACCAAAGAAATTCACCCTGACCCTGAAACCAGTGCCAAAGAAACACACTGTGGCCCTGGAATCAGAGCCAGTAAAAGAAATACACCCTGGCCCTAAAACTAGAGCCAAAAGGCTAAAAAGGACCAGAGAAAGAAACACACTTTGGCCCTGAAACTAAAGCCAAATCAGACCCTAAACCTGTTCAGAAAACCAACCAATCCCTGAGCAGAAGATCTAGCCATCCTAAGCTCAGGGATTGAAATCTGAACAATCCCCACCCTGGAAAACTCTGTCCCCTAAGAATCCCTATATAAACCTTGTGTCTGTTCAGCTTGTGGTTGTTCAGATTACCTGGATTCTTCCCTCCCAACAAATCTCTTGAATGAGGTTTGGGTGAGACCTTTCTACGGAACAACATACCCTTGGTAGAGCAGAGCAGAGCAGGGGTGTAACACTTTTCGCTGGGGTAAACCTTCCCCTGTCAAACTGAAGTTGTTAAACTCTCTGGGAGAATAGAGCTGAACTCTTAACAACTTTGCCTAGGAAACCTGCCAGAGCAGAGCTGATACACTAGGGAAGCTTTTCCCTGAAGCAAGGCTGTAAACTGCTATGGTAGTCCTTGGCTCCTGATTACCAGAATACCTTTCCATCTGAGCTGTAACACTCAGTATTCTTTGGCTCCCGAGTGCCATAATCCATCCCTGTCCATCACATCCAATCTGTCAAAATGCTTACAATAACTACATGCTAATAAGCTTAAAAAGGTAGCCACTCTTTTTTTTCCGAGACAGGATTTCTCTGTATTGTTTTGGAGGCTGTCCTGGAACTCACTTCGTAAACCAGTCTGACCTCAAACAGAGATCCGCCTACCTGAGATTAAAGGTGTGTGGAACCAACGCTCAGCTAAGAAGCCACTCTTAAGACAAACAATAAATACCAAACCATCTCAACCTATGATCTATATGGTATCTCTGGGCTGGAAGGCCAATAGAGTCTTGAGTGATAGGCAACTGGGCAGTGGCTGGCTCCTGAGTTCTCATGTTTTGGGGATAGGTAGGCAAAGAGAGAATATTAGGCTAAGCAGTAGGTTTGGGTTTATGGGAAAGTTTGATGCATGTTGGACATCTATGATCTAGGAATCTGAAATGCATTAAAACTTAGAGACTGCCACGATGCTTGCAATCTGTGCAAATATTCCCAAACTTGAAAAACTCCAAAATCTGAAATATCTCCAGTTCCAAGCATCACAAATAAAAGGGAGTGAACCTGTCTCTTATTTTCAGATAATAACAGAACTACATTCATGTCCAGGAGAGGGGTGGAGGAGCACGGAAGGAATGGAAGAAAAAACATTAACACAATCTAACAAAATTGGAAATAAATAATAAAGAGTGACCAAAGAGTGCTTTCACTTCTAAAAGAGCAGATGTGCAGATGTATATTGCTTATTTGGTGAGGAAAATAGCCATTTTCTCTCATTCACTCTGTCATTTGTTCAGTAAAATGTACCAGAGAAGCGGTTCTCAGCCTTCCCAATGGGGCAGCCCTTTAATACAGTTCCTCATGTTGTGATGACCCCCGACCTTGAAATTATTTTCATTGGTACCTCATAACTGTAATTTTGCTATTGTTTTTTAATTTTAATGTAAGTATCTGTGTTTTCCAATGGTCTGAGGAGACTCCCATGAAAGGGTGGTCCGACCCCTGCAAGGTTGTGAGTCACTGGTTGAGAACCATTGTACTAGCGAGATGCCCTCAGAAAATAGTTTCTTCCTTGGATAGGTTTGATTTTGTTGTGTTTCAGCAAACAGTGCCTAAGTGCAAATCAAATGCTAACTATGGATTTATTTTGTTGTGCATTTTTCCTCCAGGACCAATAACTGGCTTAATATATAAATTGAATGGAATATCTTCCTGACCACTTCATAGTTATCCTTAGCAGTAAGAACAAAACATTCATTTAAGAATCATTGAACTTTTAAGGCAGCGTAATTGGAATTTTTAAAAATAGTTTTTAGAGATTTATTTTTGTGTATATGTGGGGGGGTGTGTGCCTGAGTGCACATGCCCTGTAAGGCCAGAAAAGGGAATGGGACCCCCTGGAGCTGGAATTAACAGGCAGCTGTGAGACAGCAGAGAGGATGCTGGGAACCAAACCCAGGTCCTCTGAAAGAGCAATGGGCATTCCTTAACTCCTAAGTCATCTCTCTAGCCCCAAGGCTGTCTACATTTTTATCTGTTTCATAATAAAACTTTTTTTTTTGTTTTTCGAGACAGGGTTTCTCTGTGGCTTTGGAGGCTGTCCTGGCACTAACTCTTGTAGACCAGGCTGATCTTGAACTCACAGAGATCTGCCTGCATCTGACTCCCGAGTCCTGAGACTAAAGGTGTGCACCACCACTGCCTGGCTATAATGAAACTTTTTGAGGTTAGAGAGTTGGCTCCACAGTTAAGACCACTTGTTGCTCTTAGAGAGTTCCAGGGTTTGATTCTCAGCACCCACATGGCAGTTCACAACCATCTCTAACTTCAGTCCCAGGGTATCCAATTCCTTTGTGAGCACTAGGCACGCACATGGATGCAGACCCTAGTCACATACATACGTGCAGAAAAAGTACTCATACACATAAAATAAACTTTATTTTTGAGACAGGGTCTCACTGTGGAGCTCACTATGTAGATCAGGCTGGGTCTCCAGTTCATTGAGAACTGCCTACCTCTGCCTTTGCTGGGATCAAAGGCATGTGCCACCACATCCAGCAGTTAAATCTAAAAAAAAAAAGAGGAGGGGGGAGGATGCAAATCTATGCCACCCCCACAGCAACATTGCAACTGACCAAGTAGATAGATGGCACATGCTATCATCGTTTTTTTTTTACCTTATTTTTTTTTAATTTAATTTAAATTAGAAACTCATCACTTTTGAAATTTTGTTTTATTGTTATTGAGGAGATGCACGTGCTATGTCACACATGTGGAGAGCAGATCATGGGACAACTTTCAGGTATCTGTCCACATTTACACGAGTTCCAGGGATCAAGCACAGGTCACCCCGGCTGGCACAGCAAGCACCTTGACCCACTAAGCCATCTCCCCAGACCCACGTTTTATTGTTCTTTAAAATTTTTTATTCTTATTGTTCATATTTATAACTCATGTAACAGAAAATAGGGAGACAACAGAGGTACCTGAAGCAGCAAAACTGTACCTAGGATTGCTGCTACAACAACTGAGAAGAATTATGACAGCGACTTAATTTTATGACTGTTGCATCAGGACCTGACACCCACAAGTTGCAAGCACAGCTCAAAAAAATTCAAAGAGCTTTTTTTTTTTTTTTTTTTTTTTGGTTTTTCAAGGCAGGGTTTCTCTGTATTGTTTTGGAGCCTGTCCTGGAACTAGCTCTTATAGACCAGGCTGGCCTCGAACTCACAGAGATCTGCCTGCCTCTGCCTCAGGAGTGCTGGGATTAAAGACATGCGCCACCAATGCTCGGCTTGAAAGAGCATTTTTACAATCTTGCACTAGACCTCTCCTTTAGAAACTACTCAAACTAATACTATTTTTTCTTCTTACAGTGTGATACCAGAACAGTGGTCCTGAAAACTCTTGCCAAAGCAGTCTTGCAAACCAAATGGTTATTGAAAGTGCAGGCTGAACAACCTCTCTGGCTTCTACTGGAGTACCCCTTTGAGCTTTTTAGTGTATCTCAATATTTTACCTGGGTACATTTACTTCTAAACTATTCATGTGAAGCAAGTACTTAAAATGTGCAAAGCTTTAAGAAATAAATAATGTCTCCTTTAAGAAGACTTAAAGCAATCTTGGTATTTATAAGTATATTGATTACTCTATTCAATCAGTTTATAATGCATAGCTAAGCATTGTTCTACTGGCTTAGAATATAATGTATCAGTGAATAAATGCAATGATAAAAGCACTCAGGGAATTTATACCTAAAAGGAGAAAGGCAGATAATCAAGTGCCAATAGTAGATAAAAAGTGATGAATGCCATAGAAAAAAGAAAAAGCAATTTACGAGGATTTCTTGGTATTGGGGAAGGGGTAGCCAGACGCTTACAGTTTAACTGGTGTGGCCAAGGTTGAGCTCAAGAAGGGACAAAGTCTGAGCAGCTCCTGGAAGGGGAGAGAGTCCACCAAGCTGCTGGGGGTGGGGCGGGGGTGGCTGGGGGCGGAGTTAGGATGAGAGGCTGGTGTCCAGAACAGATGTCCTCAGCGTGATGTTTGCCTGGGTACTGGAAACAGTAAGTAGTGAAAAGCAAAACGAATGGTGTAAGATAAGATCAGAAAGATGCCAGTGGGTACCCAAGGACCCGTGAGGCCGTCACATGAGAATCACTGGAGTCTGAGCCACACCGAGCCTGTCTTGACTGGCATCGATGAAGACAGCTCTGGCATTTATGTAGAGGGCAGATGGCAGAGGAGAGGGGACAGCAGCAAGAACACATTTTAGGAGGCATTGAAATGACACAGGCAAGAGGTGTAGATGAATTTGCCTCTTCATATATATGACGGGAGTGCTTTAAAAGGGCGTGGTTATTGGTTTGGCTCCTTTTGTTTTCTTTCTCCTTCTGTTGCTTCCATCCCAAGTGGCAGTATCGTGAAGACACGTATTAATTCACTTTTTGCAGTACGCCACAATGAGAGAAAGGGAGCTTGACGCTAGCTGGAGGAAGTTGGGGTGTAGGATCCAGGAAGCAGGGTCCCTAGAGATTAGACTGGTATTTCAGGGAGCCTGAGTCGGGAGTCTTTATAATAGGTACACACATGCTTCTGTTGCAGGACATCTTACCCATGTTTTCTACTGTCCAGAGCTATTTTCTTCCAAACATACCTGGAACCCACTTCTCCACGGCAGTTTGGACCTCTGCTCCAATGTCACCCTTCAGCAAGATGGCTGCTTTCTGTACTCTAACCTCCATCCTGCTTTACGTTTTCTATTGACACATAAATCCGTACCTAAAATTATGTATTTGCAGGTGTATTTTTCATTGTTTTTCTGTTCTCCGAGACTGTCATTTCAGTAATCTGCGTATTCATCACCTAGAACAGAACAGAACCTAGCAAGAAATAATCATGCAGTTTTTATGACTGATCAAAGTGGAAAGCTGGAAAGCTAAAAGTAGCCATGGAAAGGGTACAGCAGTTGCTTAGCATACATGAGTCCCTGGACCTGACCACCTCCCCCCCCGCAACAAAATTTTTAAAAGAAAGGGGAAAAATAAAGTATAAAGTACAATTGAAAGGTAGCCCGAGATTCAGAGTGAAGGCACTGCCTAAACATGAGCTTTGGCCCTGGTGACTAAAGGGTTGCCTCTGTGACCATTTGAGCAGAGGAAGTATGGCTCACAGACTAGCATTGCTGTCTAGAATTACCTTTGGTACAACTAAAATTGGAAAAGGGGTATTGACCCAATTTAAGAGAAGGTTTCAATGTGTTTTAGAGCCACCATGTACAAGTAGATCCTGTGATGACTATGAAAGCTCTCCAGGCAAATAGCATCATCAAAGTATAAGTAAACATTATTATTCCAGACAGGTATTTCTCTAGTAAGTCATTAACCTAAGTTCAAACGGAGTACATGGACAAAGGCAGAAAGCTGAGTTTAAGAATATTAAGAATATTTCCTATTCTTTATATTACCAGGCCTTCTACCACCCAACCCCTCATCTGTAATCTTTCTCTACCGTTTAGCCAAAAATAGATTATTTTTTTCCTATGTTGAATTCATGGCAAAAAAAAATCGTATTAAGCAGGGCAGGTTGTGCATACCTTTAATCCCAGCACTCAGGAGGCAAAAGCAGGCAGATATCTGTGAGTTCCAGGCCAGCCTGGTCTACAAAGCTACACAGAGAAAGGGTCTCAAAAAAAAAAAAAAGAAAAAAATCATACTAAGTATTTGAGAACCCTGTTTTTCTGAAGAGACGGGTTACCTTATTGGATCTGGTTAATATGAAAATAAAAAAGTTTCACATGGGGAAGATCCAGATGTCAGGTATTGAATCCAACATCCTCCTTTATTATTATGACTAGTAGTGGGGGTGTTAGTATTAACATTTTTGAGACGTAGTTTCATGTAGCCCAGGAATGCCTTGAGCTTGTTGTGCAGCCAAGGGTAGTCTTGAATCCCTGATCCTCCTGCCTCTGTCTACCTTTTAGGTTCTAGGATGACATTTGTATGCTACCATGTCCTTTTCATTTATTTTTAAGTGATTACTGCAGTCAAGTATGTTAGTTGTCAAAAATGATTATGGGAGCTAGGGAGGTGGCTCAGTCATAGTGTCAGGACCTGAGTTTCGTCCTCAGCCCCCATGTAAAACCTGGTATAAGAAAACACGTTAATAAAGCTAGAAGTGTTAAGGGTTTTTTTTATTGTTGTTTCTAAGATACTTTTCCCTGTGTGATTTTTATTATTTGTTTTGTGGGTATATATGTATGTATGTATGTATGCATGTATGCATGTATGCATGTATGTATGTATGTGTAATGCATCCATAGGCATCAGAATCTCTGGGGCTGGAGTTACAAACAGCTGTGAGTCACTGTCGGCGCTCGCTCCGGTCCTCTCTGTAAGACTAGTACATGCTCATACTCACTCACTGACCCAGATCTCTAGTTTCCATCCTATTTTTCAACAACACTTTCCTGTGGGAAAACTAAATGCCACAATAGGTGTAGTGTTAGCATCCACATGATGGCTTACAGTCATCCGTACTCCAGCTTCAGAGTATCTGTGTAGGAAGAAGTCTCTGTCACATAAGCAGCTCCCAGGTAACCACACAGAGGCTTAGTATTAATTATAAATGCTCCGCCAATAGCTCAGGCTTGCTACTAGCTTTCTCTTACATTTAAATTAAGTCCTATTTCTTATCTGCGCTTTGCAACACAGCTTGGGTACCTTTTCTCAGTGCGGCATGCCCGCCTTGCTTCTCTCTGTGTCTGCTCCAGACTCCGACTCTGCTCTTCTCTCTCCCAGAATTCTCAGTTTGGCTCTCTCCCTAACCTTGTCCTGTTCAGCTATTGGCCGGTCAGCTTCTTTATTTAACCAACCACAGCAACATATATTCGCACAGTGTAAAGGAAGATTCCACAGATCTGATGCCTCCTATGGCCTCTTTGGATTCCAGCCGCCAGTACACTCATGCAGGCATGTGGTGCACATACGCACATGCAGGCAACACACTTATTCAATAAACTAAATACACGTTTTTAAGAGTTTTGAAGTAGTTTTTAAAAAGTAAATATCTAAAAATCGTAAGTATCTAAAAGCCACATGTGTGCCCATCCTCCCTGGCCCCTTTTTGGTACCCAGGTTTTGTTTCTCTTCCTCAGCATTTCAGCTTTTCTCCTTTTCACTGCTTTTTACTCTCCCTGTTTTCTTGCTCTGTATCACACTGGCTCCTTCACTCTCTGGCATCATTCTCTTATGGCATAGGTTACAGACTGCGTTTCTTCTGAAGGCTACACAGAAAGAGACAGCATTAGTAACCACATTTTTTGTCATTAGTCATGAGGAAAATGGAGTTTAAAATGTAAATGCTTAAAAATACACTGGGTTGGTATCAGTTTCATCTTTTTATACAAAAGCTGTTTCATTTGTCTTGAGTTGAGTGTTTAGATTCAAGCTCTTAATTAAAGGTATACAGAATATCTATGAAAATGCCATAATGAAACCCCATTACATTGTATGCTAATTTTAAAGTTAATATGGGGATGAGAGAAGGTTCAGCAGAGAAGGATGCTTGTTACACAGACATGAATCCTCAGCTTCCATGTAAAAAGCGAAACATGGCTATATATACCTGTAATACCAGCACTATAAGGGGCAGAGAACAGATGATCACTGGGGCTGCTAGCTGCCAGCCCAGCTCCAGGTTCAGTGAGAGACCCTGTCTCAAAGGAATAGCTGTGATGGGATTCCAAATAGCCAAAATATAGTGTACTGTATTGATGCCACATTAGAGAACAAAAAGACTCTGTCTTGGAGTAGTTTAGGACAAGAGTGAACACAAATTCTCCAATTCTTCCTGTCTCTGTTGTCTGTGTCTTTCTTGTCTATTTATTGTATATGAAGCTGTCTATTTGTTGTCTGCTGTCTATCTGTGTGTGGTGTGAGGGGGTATAGGTGGATGTGTGTGTGATGTCTGCCTGCCTTGCTGTCAGGTTCTAACAAAGAATTTTTTCTGTATTTATTTAACAACCCAGAAAACAGTATGAGGAAAGAATGAGGAATTTCTTGCAGGAAAATTTTAACAGTTTTCCAAGAGACTGACTCCCACTGACCCAGAATAGCACTCAAAACTTAAACAAATGTTATCAATCCACAGCTATAAAGATGCTTTAAAATTACTTTCAGATTGTTTTCAAGACATACACATACACCACACGCGCACACACACACACACACACACACACACACACACACACACACACACACACCCCTCTATTCTGAGTCCTGGCATGTCAGAATAAATACATAGTTAAGCTAAGTGTTTGGCTTAGGTGGTAAAAGCTGTTAAGTTGTAAAACTTGGTATGTCCAAACAAGGTTTCTTTCTGAAAGGCCAGTTAAACAAGTTAAATCCACAGTGGGGAGACTGAATACATAGTTTTAAATGGTTTCAAAGCTTCTTTTTAACTTGGTTACAAGGTCTGGCAAAAACTGAGTTTCTGAAGGAAGAGATCTCAGAAAACCATCCCATGGTGTATTTGTGAAATACCATGCATATCTGTGCACATGCATTTTTCTAGTGAAAGATTCATGCTATCACCCGGATTGTAGTGGAAACTGGGATTG